TGTAGGACATGAGAGAAACCAGTTTGTTCACTAGCAGTGACAGAAAAGTTCTGTGATTTTGATTTCAACAGTTTTTCTGAAGATAGCTCACTGCTTCTTAAGCAGTTCACAGAGTAGCTGAATTACTTTTTTTTCCAGGGTAGCACTTTGAGAAAAGTCTTTCTGTGAATTTTTATGGTATTTTTCTACTCACTGTGGTATTCACAGATGTTAAGGGAGGTGGGAGTGAACAGGCCCTCTAAATCCATGATCACTGTATGTAGTTACATTAATGAATGTCACCATTGATAAGTACTGTATGTTACATAACCGACCAAGTATTACCTAAACACAGAGCATTTTTATATGACCCATCAGAGCTGTAAGGAGACATTTTGGTGCCGGGAATATGTCCTCCACTCCCCACTCCAGCCAGCACTTTCCAAACTCCAAAGCTCCTTCTGGCCACCACTGCTGGTGCAGGTCCTCATCCTGGATTGCAGCCACAGTGACAAGAGCTGGAACTGATCTGTTGTGTTTTCCCCAGATCGAAGCGACCCTTTCAACCTGCTGTGCCCCTCCTGTCCATGCAGGCCTTACACCCACCTGTGAACTGAGTCCTCCCTCTGCTGGGAATGAGTCCTCGGTCTTGTGTTGAAGCCAACCCAACTTGAACAAGTTCTTTTTTCATGCACTTATCATGTGACAGAAGACATCTGAAGTATCTTCCAAAGATGAACAATCAGCCTCTTCCACTGCAGTCAAGGGGAGATTTGCCAACAGCTGTATAAAAACTGGGCTCAAACCCTCATCTGAAAGACAGATGAATAAAAAATGCAACAGACATTGCTGCTGAAAATAGATAATTTCTAATTCCCACAGCTCTCTCTTTGTGGTTTAAAATAAGCTTTTCTGCATTAAGACTACAGTTTTCAAACCAACAAAATTAAAAAACCAAATGTTCTTTCTGAGTGTTGTTTCAATTACGTTTCCATGACTGTACGTACTTTTGATGTGTGAATTTTCCCATTAGATTCAGATTACTTTGATTTGGACACCATCGATGAGGCATACCCTGTATAGTGGCAGTGGGATTAGACCTCTCATTTTTACATCCAAGGGACCAGAGGAAATGAGTCAGCACATTGGCAAGGTCCTGTCTGATTGCAAAACTGCTGAGCACTATCAGTCCTTGGGATTCAATACCTAACCCCATGCCTTGCAGCTCCAGATCAGTCTGCTGAATGTTCATGGTTTCAGGGTCATGAATAAGCAGGTGACTTTAACGGGGTATGCTACTCCGGCACAGGGCTTTTTGCATGGCCCGTATATGCATTTTTGGGACTGACTGTTAGTCATTATTAAAAATATTTCTTGCTCCCATGATCAAATCAGCTACTGCCCAGAAGCATCATTTTTGTGTAATGGTTTGATATTGCTGGTGGTTTTGGAGTTAAAACAGACACTACAGTTGTCCTGGCCACAGAAATGTTTGTGGAGGAAATCAGAAAAAGATAAATCAGAGGAGTAAGATTTGGGATAGCCTTTCAAGAAAAAGAAAATTATCTTCCTTCTTTTCAGGGTAGAACTTGACCCATTTGTGAAAAGGACTCTATGTTTTACACTGCCTGTGGCTGGACCCAGTGGCTCAGGATTTTCCTTCCACTTCTGCATTCTCTGATTTCCACCTCAGATGTGCCTTAAGCTTATTGTGTGCAGCAGCAAACTCAAAAACAGCTAAGATGGAACAAGCATTTATTTTGCTTCTTTTCTTCATGCTCACCTTTAATGTTGTTCATCCGCTATGGGCAGCAAGTGTGAACTATGTTGAAAAAATAAAATGTCAATGCATAAAGAACGCTGTTTCTCAGGGACAATGTAAACAGTAGGAATACAAGCTTAAGTCTCAAAAGCAATGAGTGGTCCAAAATTAGTCTTGAAAAATGCATGAAAAGTTACAGATTTTAGTATTACTTACTCCTCTCCCCTGTCAAGCAAGGACACATCATTTTACTGACTATGGAATTTGGCTAGGTAAGGAAGGTAAGTTTGCTCTAAGGAAATCACAGCAATTGCCCCTGTATTTCCATTCAGCCACTCTCCAGTTTTTGATGTCCAACCTGCCCCATTATGTTAAGGCTAAATGAGGTTGAAAATCTATTCCTATGGGAATTTGTTACCAATTTGGGTTGGAAGAAGATTCAACCCAGGAATGCCCACAGTTTGGCAACTAATAATGACTAGTCAGCCTGAGCATCTGAGGCTTTCACCTACCCTGTCTCTGAGGGAGTTAAAAATTTGTATACAAAGAAACAAAAAAAGCTGCTTAAAATTTGATTTCCACTGCAAGTCATCATTTACCATATGGTAAGGTATTTATCCCAACTACATGTTGTTCAGTAAATCATAGGGGTTTGCAGGGGGTGGGGGGGAAGGAAGGGGGTTGTTGTTTTGATTCTAAAGTTCTGTGCGGCAAACTGTCTCTGCAAATTGCTGTCATCGCAATGGCTGCAAACGAGTCTGCTGTGTACGTCGGATTGGAACGAGCCACCAGAAGCACTGCCCTTTTCCCTCCTCCTCCCCACACCCTGGCTGTGTGGATGGCAAACGCGATCATCCTTCAGAGCTGGGCTGGACGCCGGGACCTGTCACGCACAGCACCGCCTTACCTGATTGCCAAGCACACAAGACCTGTCAAACCAGGCACAGGAAAGAGAGCCAGGCAGCTAATACTAGCATTTTCAACTTTGTCGCTACTTTCAGTGGTGAAAAGCAAGTTCCCCTTGCAATTGTTAGGCAACTCGAGTTGCCAGAAAGGCAAATATCCAACATACACCCACTGGCCACCTCTACGGGGCTTGATGTTGTTGTTTGTCATTTATTTCCGTGGCTGGTGCTAATTTTCAGTTTGTCATCCTTTGACTCATAGAAATTATTCCTCTTCAAAAAGGATGCATCTCCCTGCCGACCACGGAAAAAATGTGGCATGCAATTCAATCCTTTCCTGATAGTACCGGAGACAAGGAGAGGGCAAGTTAGAACACCATGATGAGGAAGTTCTGTCATTTCCAGAAGGAAGCATGATTCACTGTGCAGAGCATTTTTGGGAGCCTGAATCAGAGCTGTCGAGGAAGTCAGTTCTTGGACAGTTTAATGTTTAGTTTAACTATGACTTTACCGGTGAAATGTGTGCCTCTCCCCACAGCCAGTGGGTATGGCAAGATCAGATTACATGCCACCAAGGAGCAGGCAAGAAGATCGCCAAGGAAGTGGCTTGCAAATGTTTCGGCTGAAATGAGAAATGCCCCAGAAAATCTGTCCTTAAATGTCACGGCAAAGCAGAGCCCTCCTAAAGCAGATTTAAGGGGGAAATATTTTCTCACACGTTTCCCGAGCACAGTGCAGGCGGTGGGAGGGAGGGACCTGCAGGGTGGCCATAAGGAGCCTGCAAAGGGAGGGCCACGCAGCGAGTTGCAGCCGGGCTCCTTCCCAAAAGGTCTGGAATTAGCGCGCTAGCGGAGAGATGGCTTCATTAGTCATGGCACAGACCTGCTAAGTAAAGCCATCCACAGAAAAGAATGAGTTATGTGTGAGCTGCCAACAGGCTGCAGGATAAATTCAAGCGGTTGTTTTTAATCGCCTATTGTACCCTAAAAGGATCACAATTTGATTAATGTAGTGTCCCATCCCTCCCTCTGCTCCCCCGCATCCCCCTCCTCATACACACATGCCATATTGCAGGAAACAAGATTAGACTGAAGTGTCTTCCCCAGCGTTTTTGCCTCCCCACCTTCCTTTCTACCCCACAGGAAAGTCAAAGACTTATTGGCGAAGTGGGAAGGGTCCTCAGCTCAGGAACTTGGCATATTCTTGGTCTCCCACAGGTCTGAAGTGCTGTTCGTTTTGGAGAGGGCGGCCAACAACGCCATTTCTCCCCAAGCGTAGTTTAATAAAGTTGGGGGGAGAGGGAGGAGAGAGAAGAAAAATCTATGTTATTATACAGGATGATTAGCAGGCTGTTGATTTGTTTGTGTCTCCAGGGGCACATATATATCACTGGGGTCGAGCAGGGGGAACCGGCTGTTAAGATATTTACTGTACAGAAGTATACACCAGCACCCACAGCATAATGCCGGAGGGCGCTATTTATGGTCTGTACATTTAAACAAATAGAAATCATCCTTCATACTCGCTCTTTTGCACTCTGCTGCGTGGGGATTTACATTTCTGGCCTCGTGGATAAGGAAAGGCTGAGTATCAGGGAGAGGCAGAGTTCCTATAGGATGTGAGAGGAGAATGGGATCCACGGAGCATGCCTACGCATCCCTCGAAGACGTCACTCTCTCTGGGAGCCAAAAGGTAAGGGAGTGGGTTTGCTGACTATGACACACGGTGGGAGGAGATCTGAGACACAAAGGAGTCATGGGTGTGAACCAGGAAACAAGCCTGTGCCCACCCAGCTTTTTTGTTTGCTTGAGGAGGATGTAAAATATGCTTACACCAGTTGTGCTCCAGCTCCGGCGCTAATTGTTAACAATAAAAGGTCACCAGAAAACAATTGCTGGGAACCAGAATTACACAAGGGGCCTGGGTAATGTGATCACTCCTTCGCGGGAGAATGCCATCCTGCCGGGGAGCGGGGTACAGGGCAATCCTGGGGAGTGACTCGCCAGGTCAGACGAGGAAGGGAGGTGCACACTTGTGTCAGTCAGACCTCCCCCCGCCAGCTCCCCGCTCCCACAGGGACACACACGCACCAGGCAGTCTCTTCCAAGCCTATTTAGCCCTCATTTTAGGGAGTTCGGATAGAAGGTGAAGTGCTCTTCTTTTCCCTATTATCCCGGGAGGAAAGTACTGGCTTCGACTTCTCTTCCTATGGGAGAGTTGGGGCTTTGCTGGGGAGCGCTGGTAGCTTTGCTGGGCAGGAACAAGGATTGCCATCTGGGGGAGGGCTGGGGTGAGCTGGAAGGCTGCTAGCACAGCCTGAGGGAAAAAGAGGGTGGTACCTCTCAAAGTATCTCACTCCCTCCAAAAATACGTCCGTACTTCATGGGTGCGAATGCAGCTCAGGAAGAAATTTCTAAGCTAGCATTAAATTCGCATGCAGGAGCATCTGTACCACCTGCAAGGTCTGAAAAATCCTGCCAGAATGTTGGGTAAGTACATTGGCAACCCATTCCATGCCAGCTCTGTTCTGTTATGGCTCTCTGGTCTACTTGCATACATCTGCTTGTGTGGCCAGCACACCATGGGCTGCTCTCTGGCCATCTTGCTACATTCACCTTCAGGACTGAGCAGAATTAAAAGATGTTTGAAGCAATGAGAGATGCTTTTAGGCAATGTCCATGCTGAGAAACAGCCCTACTGTAGTCAGTAGCAGTAGCTACAAAAATGCTAGCCCTGTGTGGAGGCACTCTAGCAGTAGCAGTAGCTACAAAAATGCTAGCCCTGTGTGGAGGTGGAGGCACTCTACAGCACCCTGTTACTGAGCAGCTTGAGACCCTGCCTTGCCCTGCCTCCAGCCCAGGCACACACAAGTGCAACTATTCCTAGATGGTCCAAAGACCATTTACTGTTTCATATACCTTGCCCTCACCTGAAGCTGAGCTTTCTATAGCTGCATCCATCCAGAACAGCACAGAATATCCAGAACTTACTGTGCTGTCCCTATAAACACTCGCCTCGGCCACCAGAAACCCCCTTTCAACCCTTCATATTCAAAACCTGCAACCAGACTTTATAGTCAGGGAGACAGAACACGAATTGTGGGACAGACGTGAAAAACAGTCATTAAGGGACAGTGCACAATTGTTTTCTCTTCCTCTAGTGACTGCACCTGCCTGTTTCCCCCTGTGCAATTTTGAAGCTCTTCTCTTTGGTGATGGGGCTCAAGTCTGTTAAAAAAAGCCATTGCCAAAAAAGACTTTCCCAAAAACTCCATCAAGTCTAGAGACAGTGGTAGGGATGTAATGCTTTGCAAAGAAAGGAGCAGAAGACTGTAACTTCTCCATAGATGTTCAGTACAGATAAGGTGCTCAAGAAAGCCACAGGATTAGTATGCAGTATAGCAAAACAGGGGGTAATAAGCTCTCAAGCAGCTGAAGGACACTGTGGGAGAGGTTAGATGATTTATGTGAGGAGAACTTGCTGAATTCTCAATCCTTCCCACAGGCAGTTCCCTTATGCAAGGGATTTTTGCCTCTGCAGACAAGGAGAGCTCAGTGAGTGCCAAGGTACATTATCTTGTCCTGTGTGGCTGTGAGGAGCAAAAAGAGGAAGCTAAATTGTTTGGTTGAAATGAAAGCAAGATTAGTTTAGGACAAGGTGCTCACTGAAACACTGTAATTGTAAAAAGTGGAGGCAAGAGATCTAGGGTTCCCTTTGAAGGGGGGCCATGTACCTGCTAGAGACTGCAGAAGCATGTCTGGGGTCATGCAGATGCTACAGGCAGGTCATACAGTTTGGGGACTGTGCTGAGCCCTGTACGTGTGCTAGAAAATTAGTTCAAGAGCCAGAAGACTCCAGGTGACACTTATCTTTTGACTCGCCATGAGGCTGGCCCCATTGGGTTCAGTTTGGTCACAGCACGTAAGAAAGATGCAGATAATCTGGGGAGGGTCCAGAGCATTGTAGCAACCACTACAGCTATGACGAACATTACCTGTGGGGGAAAGAGTGGAAAAAATGTATTTGCTTACTGTAAAGAAAAGGAGGTGGAGGGGATGGTGGGAATGTGTTTAAATATTTAAAGAGTTACTGCAAATAGCAGGTGGATTCATCTGCGTTAGCTTGTTGTGAGCTGGACAGGTAGGGAGATGCTTATACAGGAATTGGGAATATTCTTATTAGACACCAAAGGAAAAAAAATACCAACCTTTATGATGGTAAGATTCTGAAGATCTGTAAATGGAATGCCTGGAGAAATTCTTTAGTCTCTGGCACTGGATGCCTTTAAGAGCAAGGAAACAGCAACTAGGTAGGACAAGATGTAGCTGATGCTACCACGGATAACATCCTGAATTCTCTTCAGGTAGTGCACAAGTACTACAGGGAAGGAAAAAACTATTTTCCAAATTGTCCCCCATTTATTCCCATTTCTGCATGTATCACTTTTCATTCCAGCTGCATTAAAATACACAAAATCATTCATCTGCTAACATATGACAGTATAGTAAAACTCATGAATTAGAAAAGAATAGACCTGTGAAAAACAGGATGTGAAAAATTTGTACTTTTGTTATGATGACTGAATCCTCCTTTTTCATAGAGCGGGTCTGATTTTGTTCATTTACTCTCAGCAAGCAGAATTAATGGTTACTGTTTTCTATAAAATAGAGCTTCTATTACTGCAAAAAAATCATTTTACAGTTGTCACTGTTCAGCCTATAAAGTTTAAAAGCTGTATGAGGAGTTTTACATTTTGAAACATTTACTTTTTGGTGAACTATAAAGATGAGTCTTAATGCCCAGATTTCTGAATCAATAAAAATGCTCAAATGTCTTTGTCAGCAGGGTAGTGAAACTGAAGCCAAAATGCCACTAAACAAAAGATAAAATCTTGGATTAAATGCCCTAGCCTTTGCTGGTATTTGTGAGAAGTGCTGCCACTGGGCATAGAGATAGGAGCAAAAAGTGAGTCCTGCCACCATGTCTTACAAAAGTGAGTGGGTCTTCACTGAGTGAAACAAGCCCTAGATAGGTCAGTTAAAATAGTGCAGTGTTTGCTGTGTGCACTAGGGCTTTTAGTGCACACTTTTGATTAGAAGATCTTTATGACAGTAAGGGTAGGTATCTATTGTTATACTTAAGGTAGAATTCCAGCTTTTGGCCTAAATCCTACCTCCTTCTTCCTCTCTGCCACATTTTTAGCTGCTCAAAACTTTTGGAAGCAATTGCTTTTGTGATTAAAATTGTACTTGTGTGGTAAAAATTCTGTGAGAAAAAAATCCATGTTAGATTGAATAATCTTTTTTTCTTTTTTTAATTATTTGGATATCCATCAGCTGTAATTTGAAATGCAGCCCTGGTGTAGCTTGAAACTAACAAACTAGACACCCCAGAGGAATCTGAAAGAGACCTGTGAAACAAAATCAGGCTTCAGATGACAGCTGGATCTATAAGGGTCCACTGCTCACCTTTTATGCACTCAAGGTCCATGGTTGCAATAGAGATCTCAGTGAGTAATCTAAAATTGGAAGAAAAAAACTCCACAGTTCAGAATTTTAAAAGCATTGATGTCCTAGAAAATGCTAATGTGACCGTGGATTTGAAATCTCATACTTTGTAGTCCCAGAGGGCCATGTGCATGTGTGTGCTCTGGTGATCCTTAGGTTTGATCCAAAGAAACGGTGCGCCATTCTGATGATGTTCGTAGATCCTGCAGTCTCCTTCATGTCAGGGATTTCAGGGCACAAGTTATTTGGAGCATGATGATTAAACATGGCTTGAAATCATGATGGGGGACGGTACATCTGTTCAGGTTTGGTTTTTTCAGTTGGGTTTTTTTCCTACTATGAGTAGGTAGTATAGTCTATGCTCACCAAAAGCAGCAGCCCTGGCCTTCAAGCACTGTGTCTGAAGAAAAGCCCCTTCAGTATCTGCAGAGCTGGACTTTCAGCAAAATGCAGGTGTCCCCTGCAGAGGTCCCCTGCAGGTGTCCCTGGCAGAGTCATCAGCAAGAACCTCACATCCAGGTCTATACAAAACCAGCCCCCATTTAGAAAAAAAATCATTCCTAGAATGTGAAGTTTTCTGAAATCATACAGAGCCTGAAATAATAGTCCTAACTTTCCACAAGACAGGATTTCAGGAGCCTGAAGGAAAATAAATTGCTGGATTGGTAGCAATCATGGTCTACATTGTAAGCAGTTACTGTAAGATAAGTGTCTTTGCTAGGAAAGGCTGGGTTAGGAATTGCTAAATTTATCTAACATATATAAGTTTGTAGGCATCTCTATCTCAGTGTTACCTGTAAGTGGAAAGCAGCCTAACCAAATTCCCTTCCTCAGGGCACAGCTTGCCAAGTGTACTGCTTGTCCCATCACATGTGCAAATCTTCATCATCAAACAAGAACTTTCTCTGGCTGGAAAGCAGTAGCTTGTATTGCACATCATGCCAGCGTATGTCAGCAGTATTACTCCCTTGGCACGGCTCCTCCCTGTTAATTGTAGAGTAGAAAACGTTCTTCTTCAGGCTTTTCCTTTAACTACCCCAGTGCAAGAGCCAGAAACCGTGGACATTTGTGTGGAGGGAATTTGGCAGCTGAAATACATGGAAGCCAGGCTCTGGCATGAGCATTTCCAAGAGAAGCATCTGGACCCCTGGTTAACTTCCTGACTGATCTCCTGCCTCAGACAGGAGGCCAACCACGATAACTGCACCAAACATAAGGGGGAAGGCTGGGCAGAGGCTTGGACATTTCTTATAGTTTTAAAAATAGCAAAGCAAATCCCAAGCACATTGGCAGACCGCAAGTAACTTCAAAACTCAACTGGAAAGTGCCTCGTCCTGATGATTGTCTTGCAGATTATTCCCTGGGTTGATTTTCTGCCTGTCCCAGCAGCAAAGCCACAGCTGCAACCTCACTTACACAAATGGGTCAATTCTGAGCTCAAAAACAAGTGCATTGCTAGTGCATAGTGACTTGGCTTCTTGGCTCAATATACAGGGGCATCTGCATCAAGGCTGCTGTGATGTTTGCAAAGCCCATCAGCGATTTGGTTGTATGGAGAGAGAGAGTAGTTTTGCATGCGCCATTTTCCTTGTTCCTCCATCCCAAGAAACTTTATACTGGCTTTCCAAAACCAAACAAAAGGAAAAAATGTCCTGTTTAGGTTACCTTTCTGCTGTGCATATGTATGCTTACATATGTGCAGGGGGCTGTGGGCACATATATATGTGTATAGGAAAGACTTTCCTTCAGTGGTGAATGGGAGTTTAGTCTGTGCTGACTCATAGGCTACAGATGACTGCGAAGTTATTAGATTTTTCTTTCACCCAAACAAATCCAGCTTCACAACTATTTGACTTGTTCATTGATAGGTGTTCAGACTAAAATATAGTTTAACATTGCTACCTAGAAGCTAGAAGGAGAAACTAAAAACACTAAAGCAAAGGGTCTAAAGCAGGTGGCAGTATGTTATTCCAGTATCCCAG